ACTTCCGAGTGTTTCGATCAGACCTGGCGATAATAAGATTAATATATAGTTAGTAGTTGAAGTAAACAGCACTAAATCGGTTGTAGCCTCAAGCAGAAAAGATCACAGCTGAGGAACAAGCATGCTTTACACCAGGATGCGGTACACTGAACAAATTTTCAACTTGAGAATACTGTACTGTGCGAGAGGTATCTCAGCACCAACAGGACCTCTTCCATGTTTTAATGGATTTCAAGAAAGCATTTGATAGAGTATAGCGTGTTACTCTCTGGTCCACAGTGAAACTAAACAACATCAACGCCAACTTGATTAAAGTCATAGAGAGCCTCTACTGCAAAGCCACAAGCACAGTGTACTGCAATGGAAGTGTAAAAGAATGGTTCAGGACGACAGTTGGAGTTAGACAAGGATGTCGGCTTTCCCCTACCCTTTTTAACATCTACCTTTGAGAGAATCATGACTGATGCGTTGGAAAACTATGGAGGATCAGTTAGCATTGGTGGTAGAACAATCACAAACTTACGTTTTGCTGATGACATTGATGAACTTGCAGGGAAATAAGAAGGGCTTGTCAAGTTAGTCAAACCTCTGGACGAGGCATCAACAACATGTGGCATGGAGATCAGGGCAGAAAAGACTAAACTGATGACGAACAATATCAAAAGAATCAGCCCAGACAGTAGAATTGACGGCTAAAAACTAAAGACTGTTCAGGGCTTCAAATCCTGAGGCTCTTGGTGGCGGATGAAGGATCAAAACAAAAAAATGCTGTCCAGGATTTCCCAAACAATTAATGCATTATCACAGCTCAAGACAACAGCATTGCCTTCTGATCCAAAATCAGAATGATGCATTCCTTAGTCATTTCAACCTTCCTGTACGCTTGTGAGACATGCACCCTTACAGCAGACTTAAAGAGAAAGATACACGCTATAGGAAAGAGATGGTTTCGAAGACTGTTGGGCATCATTTCCAACAGAGGTCATGGTACAAATGGAGAAGTGAAGGACAGCATCAGACATGATGTTGGGCCTTTGAAGATCTCCTCACCACTGTGAATAAAATGCAAATTGAGATAGTATGGGCGCATAAAGAGATCAGCAGGACTCACAAAGATGATCCCATAGGGCACTGTACAAGAAGGGAGAGGGAGAGGCAGACAGAACAAGGACTGAGAGCACAACATAACGAAATGGACAGGTTTAAAGTTGGGTGCAGCCCTTCCAAAGGCTGAAAATAGAGAAGAAAGGAGAGATGCGGTTGCCCGATCATCGTTAGAGCCGCAACATTCATCTACGACTAAGGGATAAGTAAAAGTAAAGTAGTAATACTACTAGTAGTAGTAATAGTAGTAGCAGTAGCAGCAGAGGCAGCAGCAGCAGTAGCAGCAGCAGCAGCAGCAGCAGCAGCAGAAGCAGCAGCAGCAGCAGCAGCAGCAGCAGTAGTAGTAGTAGTAGTAGTAGTAGTAGTAGTAGTAGTAGTAGTAGTACTGTCCCGTAGAATTATGCAAATTTAGAAGGCTAAATTATGCAAAAAAAAAAGCAGAATTATGCACAATTTATGCAAGTTACCGTTACAACATTCGCGACATGTTTTGCATTTTTTCAACACGAAGTTTCATGATTTTCATGTTTTATGTCCAGAAAAATTGAAAACAGAACATATCAGTATCAGTAATTTGTTGTGTATTTGGAAAAGAAAACAATACACATCAGTAAGAAAAAACAAAAACAACCCCCCCCCCCCAAATATCATCTCTGTAACTTTCGGCTGTAGATCTAGATCTATGAAGGAAAGAAAAATGTTTGAAAAAAAAAAGGACATCTGGACCTCTGATGCTGGCACATTACTAAAACCAGGGACACCTGTCAAACAGGAAACATCAGCAGACATGAGAACAACAACTTTTGATGGATTGAAAAATTGAACATGCTCAGGGGGCTCTCGTGGCCTAGAGGTTAAGGTGTTGGCCTCTTATTCAAAGGTCCCGGGTTCGAATCCGGGTAGCGACCGAAAAATTTTCTTCTCTAAAATTGTCTCCTTTCACCTCCTTTCCTGCTCTCTAGCAATGCTATGTTGTCTGCTTTCATTTCCACTTTCTGCCCCCACCCCCTCACCTCCTTTGCCCCCTCCTCTGGGCTCCTGACTCTTTCTGCAGCCTTTCTATGCTACTCCTTGGTTCCTCCTTACTGCTGTCTTTCTGCCACACCCCTGATCTTCTGGTAGGAAAGATCTACACCTAGCCTTCTCGGACAAGGGCGAAAAATCTCGGAGGACCCGTGTGCAAGTTGCGCACGTTAAAGATCCCTTGGTGGTCTAAAATCGATAAGAGTAGGCTTCGGCCGCCACCCGGTCAAAATTCAAAATTTCCTACCAACTGGAAATATTAGGTGTGTCCCGCGCGCTCATATGACCTCATGCAGTTGCGAGCGCCGTAAAATACTTTTCAAAAACACACACACAAAAAAAAAGAACATGCTCAAGGAACAAAATCACAACCCTTAACCAAGATCTTTTATCAAGGGAAATAGCCAACTTTTCACTTAAATGAGACTTTTTACGGGGATTACGTCCCTTTACTCACATGTCGAGGCGTTAATTAATTGTTTTGTGAAAAAAAAAGGAAAAAAACGTGAAAAAACGCGGATAATCCAAAATTATGCAAATGTTGCAAAATTACGCGAAAAAACGCGGCCGCGCTGCGGCCGCACTATCGCATAATCCTACGGGGACAGGTAGTAGAAGTAGTAGTAGTACACATTGTTGTGAGTTTCAGACATTGTTGCTTTTTAAAAATGTAGACATTGTCGCTTGTATGTTTTAGACAGACAGTAGTGTGTGTTTAAGACATATATTGTTGTGTGTTTCAGACAGGCATTGTTGCTCGCGTGTTTCAAACAGACACTGCTGCTTGTTTCACATAGACATTGTTGCTTGTTTCAGATAATCAGCCGCAAAAAACAGCTCCGTCTGGCGGCCTTGGCAAGACAAGCTATAAAGATCTCTGTGTGTGTCGACAGTCGGGGGAACGTGGAAGATTTGAGTCAAGTTGCTGGGGACTTCGGGGTAACCTTTGACCTGGTGGTGGATGTCAACATAGGTTACGACAGGTGATTCGGGTTTTTGCTGTGTTTTAAGAGACAGGCATACCATCTTACCGCTTGCGTCTGTGGTTTCCACGAATGGGTGCTTTGCGGTCTCATGTAAGCGACACGAGTTCATTTTTTGAGTGGTTGCATCCCTCTCAGCCGAGATTGCAGGGTTGTATTTGCTCCCTTCCTAAATACTATACATTGTGTAGTTGGAGGCGTAAAAAATTTGCGGTTACTTTAATTACACGTTTTTTATCGTCTTGTTGTACACAGCGAAAGCTTACCACCCTACTTGGCCCGATTATGTCAAAGGGTGGGGGTGGGTTGGGGTGGATCGGATGTGACGTGTGGGTTAGGGGGAGGGGGAGAAGGACAAGTGGAGACACCAAAGGCCAAATACATTCTATTCCCGATCAAACCGGACCCAGAATCCAAAGAGATGGTTGGGGTGGGGGGGGGGGGGGGGCGGAGGAGACAGGATGGGGTATGGTGAGATGTGGTGGGGGTTCGGATTGGGTGTGTGAGAGGACGCCTAAAGGTCTAAATCTTGATTGATTATAAGCAAGTTTGAGTGAGTTCTCAAGGTTAATAAAAAGTGATTCGCCTTGTAGCCACCATAAATAGACCATAACTAAATGCTATCTTCTGTCATACATTGTATTTATTGTACTTAACTCTCCGTGGGATCTTTCACAATCTTAGCTTTGGGAAAAGATCTTATTCTTCTTATATAAAACTATTTTGCGATCATCAGAGCACTTTTTGCTGGAATTTAATGTTTGGGCACTCCGATATTAACACAAGCACCCGTAAAATCTCAAAACAAAATACATGATTACCCTATAAAAGAAAACGAAATTAAAAACCAACCCCCCCCCCCCCAAAAAAAAAAAAAAAACAGCAAAAAATCTATCTTTTTTTCTACGTTTTGTTTGTTGTTGTTTTGTTTTTTTAAACACACCTTTGTGCCGAAACAAGTTTTCACAAGCATGTGTACAGTAGTCAGAATTACGCATGACTAGTCGTTTTTCGAGAAAAAAATACGACTTTGTCAAGAAAGGAAACATAAAATGAAAATGAAAAAATAGACGTGTTCAGGGTGAAAGACAGTAACGGAGTTATTTGTGAACATTACTCTTAATAGATTTGGTTCTTCGTTGCTACCTCAAAAGGCGTGAGTTCGATTCCCGTGCAGAGAACATCTGCTTCATATTTTGAGTATCTCCATCTTTCTTGCATTGATCCTCTATCCAGCCCGGCTTTGTCCTTACAGGCCCTTTATGGTCTAAATTTTTGCAATGTTTTAAATATCTTTTTTATATTGCAATCTACCAGGTGTGGTGTGGAGCCTGGAAAGGCAGTTGCAGATCTAGCTGAGCTAATCCAGTCTTTGCTGCACGTGAAATTCAAAGGAATACAATGTTACAATGGGTACGTATGAGGACTTTGCAGGCAAGCGTGTGCGTTACCTTTTTCTTTCTCGTGTACTTTCGGCTTATGAATTAGTTTCCAGACCGGTATTCATGCAAACACCATACCTATTTTTAAAATTTCAAATGACTTATTGAATAGGATTTTTCTTAAGAAGACTTTTAAAAAATCTGTCTCAGGCTGTAGTTGCTATGTTCTTGCTTGCTTTTCCAAAATCAGTTTTTAGAAAATACCAAAGGGCATCGTTTCCATTGTGAAGAAAGTGCTATATCTGCAGTGGAGAAATTGTTTCGAGTCCCATTTGAAGTCATTTTACACTAACGACTTTTGAGGTCAATCAAAAATATCAACACTGTCAATTTTTAGTTTGTTAATGTAGATACGTAGCATTGTGACTATCAAGTTACAATTTTCTAGCCTATTTTCTTCATAGTAAGCAAAAAGACTTATTGAAATCCCCTCGTACGCGTGTATGCACACACACACACACACACACACACACACACACACAAACACACCCATGCACACACACGCACACACACACACGTGCTCAAACATAAACACACACACGCACGCGCGCACTCGCACACACAGATACACACACACGCACACAAACACACACACACACACACACACACACACACACACACACACACACACACACACACACACACACAGACTGGTATTTATACCGTACCATGTAATAGAGGCTGGTTTACAATAAAAGTGTCGTAAACATCACAGACTGTCAGTAGATGGACAGTTCAACTAAAAGACTCATTTTTATCTTTTATCCAGTGATTCCCTCCACGTCGTCAATGCCACAGAGAGAAAGGTGTCTTCTTCTGCTGGGATAGAAAAAGCTAAAATAGCTGTGCAGGTGGTCCAGTTAGTTCTCTGTTGTTCATTTCGTTTTCATTTCAGATGTCGCAAAAAGCAATTCCTGTTGGAAATGTTATTCAAAGATGTTACCATATTAACTTTTGGCTTTATCACTTTATCATGTCTAACTAACCTCTGGCTTTAAGTAAATTAATGAAGAAAAAAAAAGTTTATATTGTAATTTTAGAGGTAAAAATCACTTTAAAATGATATAATTTCATGATACATTCTATGAGAAATTCCCTGCCAGTTTTATGTGGTTTCCAGTCAATTACTTTCTGCGGACTTCATATAAACCACTCGCCAATGATTAATTTTCAGTGCTATTTTTCAGACCCCCTCCCCAAAAAAATAAAATAAAATAAAATAAAATAAAATAACATAAAATAAATAAAATAAAATAATGAAAAAACAACCCCACCAAACATAAGTGTATGTTCAATATTGTCTGATTTTTGTTGTTGCCAGAATCTGCTTTGCTGATATACGCTTTTCTACAAATTTATAATTTTGTTTGTTTCATTCAGTTTGTTATCTATTTTTCTTAAGCCTGCTTTTCTACAAATCATAACTTTGTCAGTTTCTTCCCATCCTGTTTCAAAATAGGCCCTGAAAGATCGGAACATTGATTGTGACTATGTGACGGGAGCAGGCACGGGCACGTTCCAACATGGAGCTGCTAGCGGGGTGTTCACAGAGATACACGCTATATCCTTACCACGTACTTGTATTAGAAGCCTAGACCGTACTTTCTTCTTCTTTTTCGATCCCGTGGTTGGGGCAACCGTGGGGGCACCACTGCATCTGAAAACCAGCTCTCGCCATCTATTTTTGTCCTCTGCTTTCCTCAGATTGTCACCCATCGTCTTTCCTGTCCACACTGTAATGTTGTCCTCCCATCTCCTTCTCTGCCTTCCTCTCTGTCTTTTTCCTTGTACGGTTCCTTGCAGGATTGTTTTGGCAAGTCCTGCGGATCTTGTAACCTGCCCATACCACTTTCATTTTCATCTCTTCACTGTGGTCAGTAGATCTTCATGCTGCCCTCTGCGTTTGTGATTCTGTTTCGTACCTCTGCATTTGAAACGTGGTCTTTGTACGAGGTGTCAAGGAACACACCACCATGCTAATTTTGATTAAAAAGGAGGGCAGTTTTTTTTAGGGGGGGGGGATGCCAGTGCTCTCGACTATTGTGAGACTTGTGTTTTACCCTTCAGTTGGGATTAATAGCATTGCTTATTATGCTCACGCTTCGCAACATTTTTTTAGAGGGCAATGAGTAGTGGCCATGATAGTGAGAGGTCTAGAAATACAGGTCTATGAATCTTACTTCAAAACCTGGACTTACTTTACTTTATCCGTCTTCTTGTACCTCTGGGGTGTAAAGGGGAGAAAGAGCTTTTTGTCTCAAGGAAGTTGGATGGCCTGGATGAGTGGAATGTTGTATGTTTTCAGAATTTTCTTCACACCCTCGATCTAAGTCTTTCTAGGTTTTCTCTTGCCCTGTGCCCTGATATTGTTTTGTAGTACGCTTCACTAGCAAACTGCCATACGTGTCGGATGTCCAAACCACATGATTGTTTGCCTCTGAATGTACAGGGTGATCCAAAAAAACACTTTACAACTTGTTTTGTAAATATCTTCCTCCATACTGACGTTTTGAGTTTCAGATTTGAACATAACGTATGGAAGCCAAAAGAAATTTGTCTGATGTGTATTTCAGATAGGTTCATTGAATGGTTTTGCTCTATATAGCAAATTAATAAAACAACCCATTTTCAACCTTGTCGCCATTTTCATAGCATGACGCACAAGTTCGCTTTAGGCCTACCACTAAAAGTTGCAACAATCGCGCCATACTGCAAGCTACAGCAGTCTAACAAGTCAACAGAAGTCTGCAGATATTATTTTTCCCAAATTTTGTTTGCCTGCTGAGATCATGGCTACGTTTAGTAAAGAGCAGAGAGATTTTTGAATTGAACATTACCTCTCCACAAACTCACCATCCCTGACATTTCGTAAGTTCTGTGTACGGCATGGAGAGAATGCTCAGGTGCACTCAAGTCCTTTGGCGTCATGAGAAGAGAAGTTCCATCAGTTTGGATCTATAGCGAATCAGAACTAAAAAGTTCTTTAAAAAATGACCACTTCAGGTCGAACACGCACCATGCGCAGCCCTTTAAACGTCACCAGAGTGCAGATTTCAGTAGCCGAGTCCCATGAGACGTCTGTGCGTAGACGGTCTGCAGCTAGGACTTTCTTACACATCAACATTCTGCATTCTCATGGCAGATCTTAACCTACGACTACACCATGTTCATCTTCGCTAGGCCGAGATGACATGAATCAGAGCATGGCAATGTGTTCACCATTCCTCGATTGCCTTGTAAAGAGGGATCATTTCCTCGATGACATATTTTGGTTTAGTGCTAAGCCCATTTCCCCCCTTCGGGATATGTCAACTCCAAAAATACTGTCTATTGGGCACCTCAATCTATTGTCTCTAGAAGCCACTTCTTAGTGAACATGTACAGTGTATGTGACTTTAAAAACTCATGGTTTAGCAAGTCCCTGTGTTAGGGCGCCACTGAACATTTCGAACGACGCGTTAAAATGTGTTGAGTCCAAAGGAGGGAATGTGGAGCACTGCTTCTAGGGATTTCAGAATGAAGTCATCAGGTTTTTAAAACTCTGATGCTTCCCGGCGTTCTGCCGATTTTCATCGTCTCCATTTTGCTTTTGCTGATCTTCATGTTGAGCTTTTCACAATGTGTATTCAGCCTGTCTGTGTACTTTTGAAGTTGCTCTTCTTTCTCATATGCCAGTCTTTGGTCGTCTGTAAACAGCATCTCTTTTGGGTTGAGGGAAAACCTGGACTGTTTGATAATAGTACACTCCCATTACCGTTTCAAATTGAATGATCCTGTGTACAACATCCGATGTCATTGTTGGGAATCATGGTTGCAGCTATGCCTTTCAGAATTAAGAAACTTCGGCCTGTGATCGTTCTGACGCTCAAAGACATTGGGGGGGGGGGGGGGGGGAGGGAGGGATGGGGGGAGGGAGTATGTTTAGTTGGTGATAGTAAATTTCGACTCTCTATTCTACAGGCAAGTGTGTAAGTAAAACCCACGTGTCATCTCTTGAAGAATGGAGGCCCCAGATGTGCGTACTTGATCAACACCTCATTTGGTTAAGCTGTAAACTTTTCTTTTTCCTATTATTCTATCACAAGGGAATACTTTACCTTTACTGTTTTCCTTCCTCTTGTATTCTTAGGATGTCGACGGGAGATGTAAGTTTCGACCCAGGGCTAGGTGTGTAGCATCTGTGATAGATATGTTTTGTTGTTTCGGGACCTTTTTAACCCGATCCAGCCAGGTCTTTCTTGGTCTTTCTTAATTTGAAGCCGGGTTCTTGGGTGTTGTAAACTCTAGCCGTTAGTTGTTTCTGGGGCATTCTGGTTAGATGTCCAAACCATTCGACTCTTTGATGCTCTATGAATTTTTTTATTGGTTGTATTCCAGTTTGTAGACGTATAGTTTCGTTTCTTATGCGGTCTCTTCTGGTGACAATGATGGTTTTGCGGAGACACCTCATTTCGCATGCATTGGTTTTTCTTTCTCGTGCTTTGTTTAGAGACCATGTTTGGCACTGGTATCTTAATGTTGATATAAATATGCTGTTGATGAGCTGGGATTTCACTTTGGTTTGGATGGTCTTGTGGCTGAGTATGAGTGCTAGCTGGTAGGTCACTGCATTTGCCTTCATAGTTCTTGTTTCTATATCTTTGTCCATACGCCCATCATGTGTGGAGATGCTTCCTAAATATTTAAATTCCTCTACTTGTTGGAGCTGTGTTCCATCAATAAGAATGTTGAGTTTCCCTGGGTTTCTGCTTACCTTCATAACTTCTGTTTTTAGATGGAGATTTTTATGTTCTGGTGTTTACATTCGTCATTTAGTTTTGTGGTATGTTTTTGTAATTCCTCTTCATTTGTATTTGATATACTCTAGTCATCAGCAAATAGAAGCTCGTTCAGTTCAGTGATGTTGTCATTTGCTGCTTTCGTGATCTTGTCCATGTAAGTAATGAAGAGAAGCGGAGAGAGAACACACTCTTGGCTCACCCCAGACCTGATGGGGAACCAGTCCGATAGTCCTTCTGTTGATCTTACGGCACACAGACTGTTTTTATAAAGTGCCATAATGTTCTCCAGCATGTCCTCTTACACCATATTCCTTTAAGACTTCCCAAAGTTGACATCTATCTACCCGGTCGAACGCCTTTCCCTGAACCACGAAGACGATATTAGAGGTCTTTGCCATGTGCAGTGGAGGTCTCACACAACTGTCTTAATGCGAAAATAGCATCGGTACAGCCCCTGCCTTTTCTGAAACCAAACTGGGATACACCGAGTTGAGTCTCTACGATTGGTATCATTCTCATTTCCAGTATCTTGGCAAACATTTTGCCCTCATGGCTGAGAAGGGATATTCCTCTGTAGGTTCCGCGGTCTCTTTTGTTACCTTTTTTTTCCAAATGGATTCAATGACAGCTCGTTGCCAGTCTTCTTGTGTTGCTTTTGTCGCCCAGGCCAGGTTGAATATCCTCCGTAGCCAGAGTTCACCGATATGACCGCATAGCTTGATCTCTTCTGCTGAGATGTTATCAACGCCTGGCGCTTTGTTTGGGGGGCTTTTCTTTATAACATGTTGGGTTTCACCCAGCAGTATTGATGGTTCTGGAGTGGTTTCTTTTAGTGAGAAGCTGTTTGGTATTGTTTTTCAAGGTGGATTCAGCAGCTCCTGGAAATAGCGTTTCCATCTTTCTTTAATCTTTGGCTTACTGAAAATAGGGTTTCCGTTCTCATCATTGACTATTTCAGTTGAGTTGAATGGTTCTTCTCGCATCCTCATGCTTGTAACGCTCTTGTAAAACTCTCTGGGGTCTTCTTTACATTTTGTTGCCAGCTGTTCTCCACATACTGTTCTTAGCTTCTTTTACTATCCTTCTTGTTTGGCGGCGTTCCTTTCTGTATAGGATTTCGTGGTGCCGCACTCTACTTTTAATGCTTTATTCAAACATGCTTTGAATTCGCTCCATTCCTCTTAAATGTCTCCCAGTTGTTTGGGCAATTTGTAAAATACATTTTTCATATATTATGTTTATGTATCTTATCTTTGGTATCGTCATTTATATTTCTGAGATTCACGACACAAGGGAATGGCAACCAGAAAGTTTTGCTTGCTTGTTTGTTTATCCTTGAGATGGAGGCATAATGCTGATTTCTACGATTTTGAACCACCGAAGGATCTTTGAAGAACACTAATTTTTAAAAATCCCAATGAGCGGTTTCTACGGATTTTAAAGGGTTTATATCCCCTGAGCAGGAACAATATCCTTTTAAAAGCGAATCCGTCCTTCGTTCTAATTATTCACTAGAATCTATGCTTTTTTAATGTATGTATTGAGAACGAACCTTTAGTGCAACAATACGTGTTCACTAAAACATTAATTTTTTGTAACAAGTTTGCGACTTAAAAGTGTCATTGGTAAGCTGCGAAGGTGTCCATATGCATGTGAAATTGTGTGTGAGAATCCGGAAGAACTGTGAACACTCCCATTTTCCGCGTTGCGGAGATTTGTAGTATTTTATATACATTCCTGAAGAAAAGTTTTTAAACGTAGTATTAATTGTTTTAGTTCTGATACATTGATACCAACTGTTCTGCAAAGCGTGGGGGAACACTAATTTACCCGTTTACAAGATCTTTGAGACTAAGTTGTACCTCGAACTTTTGACCCGCACTATAATAATCCTAAAAGACGTGAGTTCGGTTGGTTCTTATGATGGGCCAATTTCTACACCTGCAACGTTTTCTTTGACTGTACACACGGGGCCTATGCGCTCATGGATGCGCATTACCTACAAAACCTGGACGAGGAAGGCTTGCCTGTTACTGTGTTCAAAAATTCTCTGTACGTCTTGAGCTCAGTGATCAGTGTTGCGGTGAGTTCAAAAGTTTAACGATGGACTAAGTTTTGCACACTTGAATATTAGTAGTTATGCTAGCAAATACGCTGAAGTCCTATACAACCGAAATTTGCGACACTGCCGGAAATCTTAGGTTTAGCCCGGTTATCGATTTATAGAGGTTGCTCAGATAGAAGAAAAAAAAGAAGAAGAAGAAGAAGAAGAAGAAGAAGAAGAAGAAGAAGAAGAAGAAGAAGATAATATGATATATCGGGTGTCTAAAAATAATTCTTAAGTATATAAGGACTCATTCAAAGGGCAATACCTTGGTCATCTTTGAACCTTTTTCAAACAAACTTCGAAGAAGTAGAATTCAATTAATGTATGTATCTTTTGGTAAGTGTTTTACGGCACTCGCAACTAAGGTCATATGAGCACACGAGACATATTGAACATTTTTAGTTTGTTAAGAAGTAATTTTGAATTTTGGTCTGGTAACGATCGAAGAATACTCTTATTGATCTTGGACCACCTAAGGATCTTTAACGCGCACAAATTGCACATGGAATCTCCAAGATTTTTCAACTTATCAGAGAAGGCTAGGTGTTAGATCTTACCTACTCTGAGATCAGGGGTGTGGCTGACAGCAGTTAGAAGGAGCCAATGAGTAGCAGTAGAAAGGCTGCAGAAAGAATCAGGAGCCCCGAGGAGTGGACAAGGGGGGGGGGGGGCAGACTGTGGAGACGAATGCAGACAACAGAACGTGGGTAAAGGTCAGGAAATGAGGTGAATGGAGAAAATTTTAGAAGATAAAAATTTCCGTGCAGTCGGGTTTCGAACCCGGAACCTATTGAATAAGAGGCGAACACCATAACCTCTAGACCACGAGAGCCCCCAACTATTAGGGGCACGTTACACCTGTCAATATTGGAAAAATATCGACCCACATGTTTGAAAAAATATCAAGCTTCTAATTCAACCAAAATTAGGTGAAACGCAAAATTTTGCATCCTTGAAAATCAACGATATTGTTTTATTTCAAATAGGCACTATTTGCGCATTAAAGAACAAATTTATATAAAATTGATATACTGCTTAATAAACTCAGGGAGTTGATGGCTATTTAAATTTTCAAGTGTTGACCATTTTTCACTTTATAGGCTCCTAGAAACCTCTGATTTTCCACTGCTTGATTGTTTGGGGTTTCTTTCCGTTGCCTATGTCTGTCCAAAATTTAAAAAAAAATTAATTAAAAAAACCCCAGTCAAAATTCAAGTGGCTCACGTTGAAGGAAATATGGTGACCTCTCTTTCGTAAACTTTCGGCTTATAACGGGTTCTCCAAACCTTTTCTAGCAACTATACAGCAGAGGGGTAATTTTTGGCGCGAGTTGTGTGGCCCCGTCCCAATGGAATCAGGCCTTTATAACATAACACTATCTTCTCCCAACACAATAGTGTGCGATATCCATCTGATGTGACTCGCGGTATTTCGGTCCTCGTCCTGAAACCAGAACGAGCCCATTATGCCCCTGCAGCTGAACGCTCTTACGAAGTACCATTTTGTGTTTTACCCAATTTTGGTTGACATTTAAAAAATTTGATATTTCTTGTACACGTTGATAGATTCTCTTTATCTTTACCAACTTTACAAATTTACGTCACCCTGGTTCAATACAGTTTGTTCGAAGTTTTGTTGACATTAGCGCATAGATGACCTAGTTGCCCTTTAAAAGGGTCCGTTTTTTTCATGACACCCGGTCAAATTCATGTTTCTGATTCGTCTAGAATGGTTCAAATATGCTGCAACATTGCTTTGGTCAGCAGCTGATTGGACATATCAAATGTGTCCGCTACGTCCTTAAAAAGTAAGTGAAACAGGCAGCATTCGTAGCAGGATTCGTAGCATTAGGATGAGAAGCAACAACAACAACAATGATAACAACAATCATAATACCACCACCAACAACAACAACAATGATAATAATAATAATAATAATAATAATAATAATAATTATAATAATAATAATGGTATTAATAATATGACACTACTACTACTACTACTACTACTACTACTACTACTACTACTACTACTACTACCACTACCACTATCACTACCACTACTACTACTACTACTACTACTACTACTACTACTACTACTACTACTACTACTACTACTACTACTACTACTACTACTGCTACTGCTACTGCTACCACCACCACCACCACCACCACCACCACCACCACCACCACCACTACTACTACTACTACTACTACTACTACTACTACTACTACTACTACTACTACTACTACTACTACTACTACTACTACTACTACCTACGAATTACTTTTACAATAACAATAACAATTATTCTATTAATATAATATGACAGTACATAATATTATGCTATACATAATATATTCACACCATTTCTTTCAATGAGTTTCCCCTTTCTTTGGCCTTTTTTAAAATACATTTCTCGCTCTCACCATTGAGCAATGTGAATGTGACTGTGACGTATGTGTACGTACTTTAGTTTCCATAGTGTTGTTCTTGTCTAGCCATTAATATTTTTTAAAGGTTCCTGACGAAGCCATAAGATGGTGAAACTTAGGACGTATAAAATTTTTGAAAATCTTACTAGTTTCCACCGTTTTTTTGTCTTTTTGCAGTCTACAATGATAATGATGATGATGCTGATGATGATGATGATGATGATGATGATGATAATGATGTTGATGATGATGATGATGATGATGATGATGATGATGGTGATGATGATGATGATGATGATGATGATGATGATGATGAAGAATGTGAAATAGCATTTGTATACCGCAAATTCCCCGCTCAGCAACAAGCTCTAAGCTCATTGTAGTCTATATTATTGTTACCCCAGCAGATAGTATTCTGATAGAGTCTCATCTTCCTGGGAAGCATACAGTGCAAGCTGCCAATTTACGAGTGCTAAAACTACAACACTAGCAAAGGCCTACTCATCATCATCATCATCATCATCATCATCATCATCATCATCATCATCATCATCATCATCATCATCATCATCAACAACAACAGCAGCAGCAGAAGCAGCAACAATAAACCAATGTTATATGACAGCTACATAACACAGCTTTAACTTTCAGTTTTTTTAATATTATAACTCCAGGAAGGCGACCGTGCTGTCCTAGACGCCGGACATAAGGCGTTGGGTATGTTCCGAGGATGTCCTATGGTGAGTGGTCTGTAATATCCAGTTCCCATTGGGGGAATCGACAAACCGATCGTCAACCGATCGTCAACCGATCGTCAACCGATCGTCAACCGATCGTCAACCGATCGTCAAC